GCTCGTGTGTAACGTAACTGTGGCTGGGTGAAAACAGAGCACGGACGCAGGGCTACAAGGCCCGCGTGGCGCTCAGGCCCCTGGTGCATCTGGCACCCTCGTCCCTCCTCATGCTCTTTTGAGGGGAGAAGGCATTGAGAGACTTCTACGGCTGTTTGAGTGTGAATGTGCTAAAGTCGAGAAATCAGATGAGACAGAGACACGGAGCAGACAAGTAAGGTAAGGCATGAGAGCAAGCAGGACTTTGCTTTTTTTTTTTTTTTTTTTTCCTTTTTTCTGGAGCAGGAGGGAACTTCCGTTTTTATGTTTTAGCTAGAAGATTATAGCTTAGCTTGCGCATGTGATTCAGCTCCAAGCCTGAAGTCATGCAGGTCAGCTGAGGGCTGCATCTAAGCACTGCCTTGCTTCCACCACTTTCCTGTTCCCCCAAAGGCTGGACACCTAAAGCTGCCTTATGGCCCATTGTTGCCTGCTACCAATCTTACAGGATTCCCTACTACTACAAACGAGAGCAGAGGAGCTGCAAGAGCCTGGGCCTTTTCAGTAGAAAGCCTAAAACCGGCGCGGGAGCTCCAGCCATGGCAGGGCGACACAACAGCCCTTGCTGCCTGGGCCAGGGAGCTGCCAGCGCTGCTGCCTCAGGGCCCCCAGTTCGCGCAGCACCCAGCAAAGGTTGCTCTAAACCCCCGTGACAGGACATCAGCGATACCCTCTGAGGCTGGAGGAGGACTCCAGGCAGGGACACGTGTATAGAAGTTGGTGAAGGGCTGTGAAGGTGTGAGCATATGTAGAGCACAGGTCCAAAGGCTGCCCTTGCACACAGCAACGAGGAACCACCTTAATTCTCATTCCAAGGTTTAATTGGGAAGTATGCAACACTTGCAATACAGAGCTGTCTCAAAAATCCTTTCTGAGAATAGCAAGTTCCTTAATACCGAGGGCAGAGGGACTGTAGCCTCCAAGCAGTTGAGAAAAACTGCACCATGTGGAACAGAAAAACTTTCAGGCTCTGTCTTTGCTACAGGCCTTAGAAGAAAGGCCTAGAAGTGGGAAGGAAACGTGTTAAGGGGCTAGAGGAATGACAAATAGCCAAGCATTAGAGATGAGTCAGGACAGCAGGCATGGAAGGTCTGACCTGAACTAACTCTCTGAGGAGTAACAGCAACAAGGAGATGCAGCCCCTCTTGCCAACGCTCCTCGGGGCACACCGGGATATCGACAGAAATGATGCGGGGGGGCGAGACTGACCACAGCATCAACACAAGCATTACATGAAACCCAGCAGGGGGGAAGGCCTGGAGTAGCAGGGACTTCCTCCCCCTGCACTGCAAGGTAAGAAAGCAGCACCTGGCATGAGGCACAAAGCAGCTCCTATGAGGTAGCTCTGCTTTAGGAAGGGGACAGCTGGACATCAGCAAGGGGAAGAACAATTTAATCTAGAATTTTCATCCTGAACATCAGCTAAAAAAGGGGCAGAAAAATAATAATAAAAAAAGCATGCACCAGATTCAGGCACCTTTCATGACCCATTGCTGCACTGAGCCTTAACTGCTAATAGTGGCCTGCCTGCCACTGCTCTATGTAGAAGCCCCATTGCTGCTCTGTGCCCAAGAAGGCTGAATTAAATATCGTTAAATGAGGGTTTCTGTGCCCAAGAAGGCTGAATTAAATAAACCCTCATTTAACTATATGCACTAAAGAAATGTGCTATTTTGTCACACAAAGGGTAAAATTCCAGGAATTTATTGCTGTATGTATGCTTTATCCATTAATTTGCCTTACATTAGTCATGAAGTGCCAAATCGTGTGCTACATTTAACATTTCCTCTATTCTCTTCCAAATGCCAGTGGGTGAGTGAAGCAGCACAGCAGCAGTCACAAAACATGGCTTGAGCATCTCTCAGGAGCTTAAAAAATAAAGATTTGTGTACAAGCCAAAGAAAGATGTCAGTTAACAGGTGACTCAGCATCTTTAATATCTTTAGGTGGAAGTTTTGCAAAGTTAAAATTTACAACTCAGACTGAACATTTTCATCCCCACTGTAGTAACAAGATACTTGCGAAGAACAAGAACTATGGGATGTCAATGTCACACGCAAGAACTGCTTCATTTCCATCAGAAGCAAAGGTTGGTAATTTTAAGCAAGTGAAGGCCTAGCAGACTAAAGCTGTCAGCCTATATTAAAAACACATACCTCCAAGTTTGGCAGTGGAACTCTATTTACCACTTCAACTTTTTTTTTTTTCTTTTTTTTTTGGTTAAGTACAAGTACTCTTCCTCCCATCCCACCAAGTACTTTATAAATCCCCTTTATTTTTATTATACCTCCATATTATTTACAGGACTCCTAGAGATTAAGTACAAACTAGTATGAAATTAATGATAGTTTGCTCTTCAAATATGTATCCCATGGCTAAATAAATACCAAGCCAATCCAATAGAGGCATCTGGAGTTATGATTCAGAAGCTTGTGTATCTGTGATTCCAGACGCTTTCTCATTAGCTGCAGAGGATTCACTTGATCTGTCAACAGCAGCTGCCGTGGACGCCAGGGCAGCGCTATCCAAGGTGAGCGCGGGGGTCTGTTCTACATTTACAGTAGTGCCAGGGTCAACGGAAAAGCTTCCTGCTTGGGTGATGGTGGGAAGCAAATCTGCAGGCACTGTGGATACCTCTGTGACCAAAGGGAGCAGAGGAACACACTTGGGTGGCATGGAAAGAGGTGTTATTCCCATCAGATTCAGAGGTGGCAAAGAAGGAAGGGAAGGCAAACCTAGAAAAGAAAAAATAATTTAAAAAACCGTTGAGACACTACAGGCCACAGACAGGTACAGAGAGATTCTGTGTTTAATTTTTTCTTTCTCTAATCCCCCATTCACTGGGAAGGAAAGTGCCTTTTAAACTCAGAGTGAGCATGATATACCTGCTGAGTCAGCAGGTTAGTTTCAAAGCCTGTTCAAATTTGAAATCCAAAAAGTATCAATCTGAATAGAGTGAAGCTTGCTTCCTTGTACATACTGATGTTCCCCTCTCCAGATGACTGTCTAACATGTCATCGGGATTGACTAGTGTTTCTGGCGTTCATTTAAATTGCCAGAGACAAGAAGTTAACAAGAATTTTATTCCACATAAGCTTCCAATTTTATATTTTGTTTGCTCCGAGTGCACCTTCAGCAGTTTTGTTTTATTTGCTACCATAAATCTAGTATTAGTTGGTACATTTTGGCATTCAATCAGGGTGTTTCGACCTCCTTGGCCAGTAAACACCTCATTTTCTTCTTCCCATAAAACTATCAGCTTTCATTTTTAGCACTGGACAATCTCTTCTTAGATCGTAAATCAGGTAATGTAAGATGAACCAACTAAACACAGGCATAGACTTAGTATTAGATTATCCTGAAAAATATTCCTTGTCTAGCCAGTCTGGGCACTACTGCCAACTTGTGTCTCGGGCAAACATTCCATCATCTCTCGCAGGAGTCCCCCACATGAAGCTGAGAGCTGGCACTAAGGCAGGGATCAGCGCGGGGAGCTCAGCGTTCCCGCGGCAGCAGCCCCTACCCGGCTGGATCATCTCGGGCAGTTCCGCCCCAGGGACGATGTGCGGGGCAGGTAAGTTGAGCTTGGACAGATCAGTGAGGTTGGGAAGCCCTGCTGGCAACGGCATCAGACCTAAGAGGAGAGCAGAAAAGTTACAGATGAAGACCTGTCAGATTTGCTCTTTCAAATGTTTGAGTCGTAATGCAATATAAAATCTAAATGGTCAATAACATCTTCATTAGCAGATTTACAGATGCAAATGCAAATTCAACCTTCGAGTTATACAAGGAAAACAGTTGTCTATTGCTGGAAGTCAGGATTAGAAAATACCTAATCCCAATCTTCTATATTTTCCTCTGAGGGAAGTAAAATTGTACTTCAAGGAATGAAGCTTTGAATTCAAAGCTTGGCTTTTGACAAAGGCAGTTATTTCACTGCAGCGCAGTACCAGAAGCCTCCTGATCTGAATAGCAGCAGAGCTTAACAGGATGAAACAGGGAGGAAGACAGACATGCTAAAGATCAGAAGTATTACTATTAGTGTTTTCTACTAGATTTATAAAAATATATGAAAAAGACAAGACAAAGTAATTTTCCTGGTTAGGAAAGACTGAATATACAACAAAGGCATAAAACAATAACAACACACTCCTATCAATGTGTTTACTGTGGAACATTTTTCCTCCCCTGGTTTTCCTCTTTTAGGAGAGCTACGTTTCTGTGACAGCAGCTTTCTTCTTACTTTGTGTTTAGTTCAGGGAAAACTAAGTCTGAAATAAGTCTTAATGCTACAGCAATGAGAAGGAGACAGAGAAAGTCTTATGCCTGGCCACTGTACGAAGATTTTTTTTTTAATACAAAAGCTTTTACTTTCCTGTGAATTAGCCAAAAAATATATATGTTCATTCTTAAAGTTGTAAAGGTTGTGCAAAATTTTGAACATGAAATGCTTGAGATGCTATTAAAGTTATTTTTTAAAAAAAAAAGTCACAACAGAAGAGGCAGACCTCTTCCATTTTTCCCTGAAGTGCTTTTCTTTTGTCTTGTTTTAGAGAAGTTGTAAGAAATGTTACCTACTCACCTGGTAATGTCGTTGCTGGGTTAACTGGTGGCACAGAAGCCAGGGATGGACTGACTTGTGGTGGTAGCAAGGGAACCGTTGGAACCCCTGAAGGGGCAGAGAGAAAAACAACCACCAGTCATGTCACGTTTGTAACACTTCAGTTCCCTTCCTCAAGGGAATGAAAATAAATAAATATTAGCTTATAGGACAATTAATACTTGCCTTAAACAATTAACTATAAAATGATGACCGAGAGAAGGAGTAGTTGCTTGGAATTATTTTGTGTGCAAGCAGGGCACAGTATATTACTTTTAGTGTTTCTTTAGTGTAATCTTAGTGTTTGGGAAAAGTTTTGGGAAGAAGTTTACTTTACAACCACCACTTCCTATTCAGTTGACAGGAACATTTGTGAATCCAGAAGAGTCAAAATGCCCACGCGCTTCTGAAGTTAGTGACTTCCACACTAACCTGTACTGAGAACGTTACTGACAGCAGTTGAGGGTGAACTAATGGAAAGT